GTTTCATGTTAGCATTATTTTCACTTTTGTAGTACAAGACGCAACGCTAGCAACTTAAATATAATGCATTACTTTTAAAGAATTATTGAAGACTAGCAGTAGAGCCCGGCGTTGCCTGGGATGTAACAGTAAGAGTTGGGGACGGCTGTTGCTTTGAAAGATGTGTTTTTGTAAGTCGACTTGAACTAAGTTTCTACAAAACGTTGAAACGCAATGCACACAAAGTTTAAGCAGACATCATGCAGGCCCAAGTATTCGAAGGTATCGAAGGAAGTAACGGAAAGCCGTTGTAGCATCAGTCATTTGCCATTACTAAGACATCTGTGAGTAAAAGCTGGCAGCAGTTACTGCTTTAACCAATTGGACCGTTAAGCATTACTGGAAGCATTTGTGGTAAGTAGTCAAGAAACCACGATTCAATTGCAACATACATAGGGACTGAAGGGAAAACGTGCCTTGAGGAAGCCATAGACATAAAATATGTGCCGTGCGCAATCACAAACAAACCGCTTTTTAACTAAAAGACGCGTCTTATGCCCAAATGACGGCGCTGCCACGACCACAAAGCAGAACCGTAAAATCGAGAGAAGAGCGAACAGTGACGGGGTGTCATGGTAAGAAAATTCCTGTGATATAACTTCCTTTATTCTGATCTGTCACTATCTACATCGCGGCTGCGAGCCCTTAAAACCGCAACAGGGGTAGCCGAAAGGCCGAGCATCGTAATTGCAATGGAGCAGTGCCATCTCTTCAGTCGAAGTCAACATCACGCTGAGAGCTCATGGAACCGGACCGGGGCCGCCGTATGGCCGAGCGCCTCAATTGCAATGAAAAAGTGCCTTCTCTTCAGTCGCAGTCAACATCACGCTGAGAGCTCATGGAACCGGGCCGGGGTCGCCGTACGACCGAGCGCCTCAATTGCAATGAAAAGGTGCCTTCTCTTCAGTCGCAGTCAACATCCCGGCTGAGAACTCATGAAACCGGAGCGGGGTCGCCGTACGGCCGAGCGCCTCAATTGCAATGGAGAAGTGCCTTCTCTTCAGTCGCAGTCAACATCACGGCTGAGAGCTTATGAAAACTGACTGGGGTCGCCCTACTTGGCGTGTGTTTTTAGGTTTTTTTACATGACTACAAACAAAACAATAGAGCCGTATGGCTGACATGTTTCACCCATGGCAGCCGTAAAGTGTATATGGAAGAGAAGCCTGAATTTCGTAGACGCATTCGACTTTTGTGACAATTAAACGGACTCCGAAGCTTCTCAAGAGTGAATGTGCTTGTATTATGGTACAAACTGCAGGTGATCCGATCAATTGTTAATGAAACCGGAACTTTTGTGGAGCAATCATGTCTAATGCCGGTGTTTATGTGTCTAGCAGCTTGTGTTGCAACTGAATACGGTGAGGTTATCATAGTGTACAAACAAACGGGATGATGGCGGGGAAGGTATGAAAAGTCAGAAGGCAACAAAAGAGCTGGATAACCTTTACAAAGATGTCCTAGTAATGGCAAATGGGGATTACGACGACCTAACGTTAAAACCAATAGGACAAACAAAAATTTGCCATGCAATCGGACTGCATATGTGTATTGGCACTTAAACGCTACCGGGCGGGTTGTCTACAGCACCTACGTGTAGGTTATGTTTCTAGCACAGTTGTTGGGAGAGTAAATGAAAACCCTGTCCTTAGACCCAACTTGAGCACCCAACGTTGAGAAGCACTGCTCACGTAAATGCAGACCTGCGATGCTAAGCGTCTGTCCTTGTGATTTGTTAATGGACATCGCAAAGCAAGCTTCACGGGAAATTGTGAGCGACGAAAGTTGATTGGTGTGCTTGCGTCAGGTCTTCCCCCTTGCCGCAGCCAGTTGACCCGAAGAATATGAGGTGGGAGTCCGGACGGCTGAAGGGATTTCAAAACTTCTATGGGATACTCAGCTAATTCAGATGGCTTGGAAGTTCTGTCGATGGACTTATAAATATGACATTACCCGGGAATGCAATTCAACAGTTTAAGGTTGATGGAATCAACTGTACAGTTCTTCGGTGCCAATATGGCCCTCCCAGCAAAAGCCAATCGGCATCGGCAAAATTAGTGGATAGGTTGTAGAAGACTGCATTCATCAATTCATCCGGTAATTCAACAGTGGTGGCAAGCTGATCCATCTGCACAAAAATCCTGTGTGCCAGATGGCATTTTCCTTCCCCAAGAGCAAGAAGGTCCCGTGCGAAGTCAGCGGCTCTGGTGTCCCCATTCAAGTAGGGCACGCATGTTCGTGCTCACTTTAAGAGTCTCCACGAGGCGCCAAAGGGCAGACGACTTCAGGCAGGCGCGGACAGCGTCAGTGCGTGTACCTTTAGGAATAACAGTTAGAGTCTGGCTAAAGTCGCCTGCGAGGAAAAGGTTTACTCCACCCATAGGGTCGGAGGAGTCGCGGATGTCTTGGAGACTTCGGTCAAGTGCCTCAAGGGTGCCCTTTTGTGCCATCGTGCACTCATCCCAATCTATGTTTGCATCTCCGCAGAACTTCAGACTGTGGCGAATTCTTTGTTATGTTGCAAAGAGGACTTTGTGACCGTCATAGATCAAGCGGCAACCTAAAAAGCCGAATGAGCGGTTCTACCTCCCGGTTGCAGCAATCCCGAAAGATGCGACCGCAATAGCGATCTCCCCACGACGCCGTATCCTGCCAGGACTAATTTAGTAACAAAAGCTTTGCCAGTTCCTCCGGGTGCATCTAAATAATATACACCTCCACTGGAGCCGTTTGCCCTGTCTGTTATTGTAGTGAAAGTAACCCTCTGATCAGGTAGAAATTTGGGCGCGTTTTCGGTAAGGGTCGCCAGCCTTTCGCCGAACCCACCGGTTGTTTGACCACACGTAGTAGGACGGGACTTGGGGGGTATATCAATGTTTTGGCAAAAGCATCTGTTGAGCGTAATCTAAAGGAAGCCGTTAGGGTTGTGTCTTTAGGGTTTTCCGCAACCTGCTGGACGTTTTGTTTGGTGGAAGTACATCCTCTGTCTATTTTCTAAGTGAACAGTAGGCTGCACAGTGGCTGGAGCCCTTTGGTGTGGGGAATCCCAAATTCGCCAAAAGGCCTCGCTACTGCTGAGGTATCGTCTAGCCACGTAATCGGCCACCCCGTCAACGCAATTGTCGCGCCGGATACCGAAAACGGCAGCATCGCTGCCTTTATTATATATACTTTATTGACATAACTGAGTGGCAGTATTCAACGTTTATGTGGGCTCCAAAGTCTTGGACAGCTGCGAGCAATAAGGCACCACCCAACGATTGTCTAGAGTGTGCCCCTTAACTGTCACAGTTCTGCCGCCCTCAGCGGGGCTTCTACGTCTGTACAGTGGGTAACCATCAGTCGCAGTCTGCGTTTCTGAGATAAACTTACGGGGTAACCCTTTGCGCAAGTGGAGCCGCTTGACCAACATGAACTTTTTTCGTAATTCGCGCCACAGGGGCCGTGTATTATATTGTTTTAATGATTTCGTGGTGCAAAGGATCCAGCGCAGGAACCGGAATTTCAGCAGAAATAAAATCGTCTATTTTGTTTGCGTCAACATTATCGTTGAGCCACAGCAGAATGTGGGCATGAGGCAAACCGCGTTTCTGCCACTCCACTGTATACATATGACACTTAACGCATCCGAAGACTTGCCCTTTAAGGATTAAATCCATAAGCTTACACAGCTATAACCGGAAAACGCGGGCAATTAGGTCATGGCGGTGTGAGTACTGCTGACCTGGAAAATGTTTGCGTGTGATTTCAACCTATTTCGGATTGCACGTGAACGTGACGAACAAATCAGGCCTCCCGTAATGACGGACATAGGTCATTGCGTCTTGTGTCCTTTCTTGCGTGTAAGAGGAAGGCAAAATGCACGGTTTACCGAGATTGCGTGGGTCACCATCAGAACGCAGACCATCACGAAGGTGAATGTAGGAGTCGGTTCTAAGTTTGACTCGGTTTAACTTGATGAGTCCTAATCTCCGACTCCATTTTTGCAGCCATGTCAACAGCGAATTGAAGAAGTAGTTGACGGCACTTGTGCAAATGGTTAAATTCACCTCTCTAACCATAAACATGTAGGCGTAGTAAGACCTACAGGAGACCGTCTTTGAGGTCGACATGGAATGCTGCTTGCCTGGTATATTGAGATCTTGAGTGGTGCCATCGCTTCCGTATGAAAAAAAAGAAGGGGGTACTGGAGACAGTCGTATGAACGGTGGGTTTCACTGATGCGGCGCAGACCACCGCCCCGGTACCTTATGACAATGTCACGGCTGTTATGCTCCTCACCGTAGATGACTGCGGCGACTTCATAACATGCAGGAGCATTGAAGCGACGCTCATGCTCAACGTGAGGCCGTCTGTCTGCATCGATGACAACACTGAAAGAGGGCGAAGAGTTGTTTTGCAACGCAGACTTTAAGCTTCGGATGTAACTGTTAGTTTCGTGAAGCATGTCTTGTAGACGAAACAGAATGTCTCTACGGGGACCGACGGAAATATCGCTAGGCAGAATGCCGAGACGCGCATCAACCTGCTCATTTTAGTCAGCGAGAAAGTAAATTTTGTAGGAACTGAGGTGGCTCTCACTGATCAGCCAAAAGTGATCCCATTAAGTGGTAAACTTGGCCTTGCACTTTGAAAGTAGGTATCCATCCCCCTCACTAATAGCCTTCGCACAAAAGACGTCATCTGGAAGCAACAGTTGTACTTCCATATTGCTTCAAAAATGCGTTGACTCGAAAGTTGTACCCAGAAGTAGGTCCCTAAGGGCTGGGGAGGTTCGTCTAAAGAAGGGAGTTTGATTTTGCCCCCAGAGCAACAAAGCCCAGGTTGCTCACCGGCCCACTTTTTTGCGTTACAAAAGTGCAAACTTTATCCATGGCCTCTCTTTGTACGTCTCTCCCAGCATACGTCATAATTGTATGCGGCATTTGACCAAAATGACGCAGACGGCGAAGTTACGCCATTCAAAGAAGCTCGAAGTTACTAATGTTTTCGAGCCGTTGACGGCATACTTCAGAGTTTTCTGCAGCCCTGGCAGATGCAGTAGAGCGGGCATTTCTAACGCGACGAACAGTGGTTTGTCCAGGGCATTCTAGGACTCTGGCAGGCGCAGTAGAGCGGGCATTTCTAACACGGCGAACAGTGGTCCGTGCAGGGCTTTCTAGGGCTCTAGCAGATTCAGTGGAGCGGGCATTTCTAACGCGACGAACAGTAGTCTGTGCAGGGCTTTCTAAGGCTCTGGCAGACGCGGTGGATTGGGCATTTCTAAAGCGACGATGAGCGGTTTCTTGGGGTTGTTCCGAAGCTCTAGAGGCGACTGAAGCCCTAGTATTTCTAAACCCCTGGAGCAAGCTTTGGCGGTGGGATCCCGCAAATGACGAAGGGTTTTCTGTGCTGGGGACTGTGAAGCCCTCAACCCTAGCCACGCGGACTGCGTCCTGTGAATTCTGAAATGAACGTTCTTCAACTGAAAGCCTGGCGCAACGTGCGGACATGGTTGAAGCCGCTGAAGCCAACCTTTCAGTCTGCGCACCGTCGTTTTCCGTAGATAAGCGAGAAGCTGACCTCGAGGCCATCCGTGAAAGACGCAAAGAAGTCTGTTCAGGGGTTTCACTCGCCCTCGCTGCTCTAGCAGCGGAGACAGCTGCCGTGCGCCGCCCCAAAAGTTTCCTCCTTTTTAGGTGGCAACCAAAACAGTAAAACGTCAAAGAGGGTAAAGCTTAAAAAGAGGTTTCGACAAATCCAAAACGAAAAAACGTGCACTGCTAACGTAGACACAAAAAGGGGAACACCCAGTAAAATGAGTTCAGATGTTACTAAAGGGAACTCGAAATTAAAAAATTGGAAATTTAAAAAGGTAAACCAAGGGTAAATCCAAAAAAGGAAATGGGTTTTTAGTACAATTAGCTAACGTGTGTAGGGTTGGGTTGGAACTATAAAACAAAAAAAGCAGCTAGAACACGTAATCAACAACTTGCGGTGTCTGAAGTAGGCGAATAAAGTAATCCAAGTGTGTACGCGGGCAGCAATAAACGCAAAGTGTGAAAGCACGCCTGAGTCACCCAATAGAGGTGGTTGACCTTGCGTGCATTTACACATAAGCTGACGCGCGCGATCACGCGGGCGCTATAACGTGTGAGAAATCATGCGCGATGATTGGACAGGCCCCAAGGTCAAGCTCTGTGAAAGCGACCAATGGGCTTGCAGCGGTCTCGGTATCGACTTGCGGACTCCGGTTGTACGCAGCTGTGTGGGCAAGAAGTTACAAAAAGATTGATCCGCATGCAGCTACGGTTATTTTTGCAAAAAAATTCTGAAATTTGAAACACATAAAAGGTGATAGTAAGCCGCAAGTGTGTTGTAAATTTCATTTGAATCAAGCCAAAACTGTACATACTGTGCCAGAGAATGTGTGTTCAGAGGGCTAAATCCTGCCCCTTGGTACCCCTGTTTATGGTTCCCTGGTCAAGCGGCTTGACAGTCTTGCAAACAACTTGGTACTTGTTAGATAGCCAAGCGTTAGTGCTGTCAGAAACTGAACCATTTGGTTTGCTTTGGTAGCTCGGTAACAAAACATCGTCAAAAGACTTCAAAAATTCTGCATACATGTGCTTTGAAATTGATTTAGTGTAAAAACAATTGTGTTTTTCGAATTTTGGGCGCTGCCAGAACCACCGCCGGGTTATTTTACGTAGTCCTGTGAAGTTTTGTTGAAATCGGTTGAAAAATGTAGGAAATCCGATCCCATACATGAACGAACAGACACACACACACAACCTGGGTTTTATAATAAGTAAGTTTTCTACATATTCTGAGTTAAAATTAAACCAAATTTACAGAAAATATTGTTAAAATACCATGAATGTCCAAAAAGAATTATTTCCATTCATTACAAGCATCGAATGAATATGGTTAATAACTAATGAAAAATAGACTTAGGATTGATTGTCACAGTCAGGGAAAATATAATTAAAACTCAATTATTAATAGAATAAACATTTCAATCGTACTTTAAAAGAAAACCAACCTTGCGCCACATCAGTATTTAAATGAAGCGTACAATACACACACTGACTGACTCATTCTCACACAAATTGAATGTAGACGGAGGAAAATGTGCAGAGGTGACCTCTGACAAAAACACGAAAGAACTTCACGTTATTTACGATTTAACAGAACCTGTTGAACCACAGGTATCTGATAATGGAATTTAATCGTATGCAAATTTAAAATGGTGTACCTTACCTGGAGATAACTAGTTTGTATTGTGCATTATATCGACAGCTTACCCGAGACATTTTTTTCCATCTAAGTTAAGCGAATCCATATTTAATAGAATACATTCAATATCACACCTTTTCATTAAATCATCTATTAAAAAGATTAAGGCTAGAAATTAATGGTCAAACATAGATAAAACAATTAAAGAATTTTCTGAATCATGCGTATCAGGACAACACGCAGAAGTATAATAGAACACAAAATCACAAATGCAAACATTATAAATAACGTGATCCTCTATTCTCCAATAAATATATCGATTTAAGAGTACCACAACCTACAAAAATATTCTTAAATAACCTAATGTATTTATTTGTGTTCTAATTATTCTAACTTAATTTGTAACCCTATATGGAAAAAAAACTCTTTGATAGCAAGTGAAAGCCACGTCGCCATTATTCTTATGTTCTAGTGGCCGAAATCTTGCTAGATATAAAATCCCAACGAGGAATCTTTTAGCCGTCTCTCTCTCCCCGTTGTTTTTAATTTTATTGTAAGCAAGTACCCAAGCCCATGTTGGGCGGGGGAGAATGCCCGTTTGACTCCCTCCCCTGCTCTGTGTTCATTGAAACAAGCAGCTTGGTGAAAGGTAGCCTGAACTCTCGCTAGTGACCATGAGAATGAAAGCGGACGAACATGATCGCTTCCTGCCATAAGTGTGTAGGTTTTATGACATATCCACAAAGCTGGATAACCATATTTTTTTATTTATTTTTATTTTTAGAATAGGACAATGGGACTTATACTAAGTTAAAACTTAGTTTAGTGAAGGTGTCAAAATATCATTCCTTTCCCCCAGTACGTCCGTCTCCTAGTGTCAGCCTGGAGACTTTGTCAACTACCTCCCCACACCTGTTTCTTTTGGTGTTATTGCTGTTGTTGTATTGTACTTATCTTATGTAATAGGAGTAGGTAGGCTCTCCTACCACCCGGTCAGTACTACTCCCTCTTCCCTTGGACAAGTTTAGAGGCTCACACCTTGTTTCTTGTTTAGGAAGGGGTTCCCGGAATCTCTCTCTCTCTCTCTCTCTGTCCAAGTGCTCTCTTGTTTCCCCGTGATGTGTGCGGTCTGTGGCAATACCTCTTCATTCTGAGGGTACACAGTTGACAGTTTCCTGGTTGCTGTTTCGGACTGGTAGTTAGGAGCCCTAACTCTTGCGTAGCGTCTTGAGCGGCCGCTCTGATCAGCAGTTGTATAATACCGGGGTGTCTGTAGTGCCATGTCGCGCATGGAAAGTTGTCCTTTCAGTCACCTCCGGTAAACAACCCTGAGGCCACATTATGATGCAGGCTTTGCTAATTTCTCTCTGCCCACGGTAGATAACCGTCTGCTACTTCTACTTCATGCCTTCTCATCTTCCAACCAGAATTCCACATGATGACTTACAAAGATCGAAAAAGTAAACCTAAACCAGCCCTTCAAAAATCACCTAAACCCTTCAACATTTCATTCTTCAACATCCGTGGCATTAGAACCAATTTCTGCAGCATGGAATCCTTCCTCACTGCAAACTGCCCGGATATCCTGGCTCTTTGTGAGACCAACCTTGACCCCTCTATCCCCTCCTCTGATCTCTCGGTTGCCGGCTACTTCCCTCTCCTTAGAAAAGACTCTCAAACCCACATGCATGGCCTTGGTGTTTACGTCAAGGACCATCTCCCACTGGCTAGAGAGTTGTCTCTCGAATCGTCAGACTATTCGTACTTGTGTCTCCAGCTATCTCTCCTCAATGCTGTAAGCTATCTCGTCTTCCTTTATCGCTTTCCATCCTCTCAAGACTGCGGAATAATGATAGCATTTCTGACAGCATAGACAAGGCTTTTCTCTCTCCATCCGTTTGCTCACATATTGGTGTTTGGCGATTTTAACGCCCATCATACCAAGTGGCTTAAGAATGCTACTACTGACCTTGCAGGCACTCAAATACTTAATTTTCAGTCTCTCAATCCCTCAAGCAGATAGTTGACTTCCCCCACGCGCTTTGCCTTCAATCGGGACGGTAAGGCCTCTCTTCTGGATCTGTGTTTTACCTCCATCCCCGAATCATCAATCTGTAGTGTCTCCGTCAACATCTCCTTCAACTCCACCCCCCCCCTCTTACCTCTAGAACCTCGTTCTGCAAACAACGAGCTGAATGGGACTCGTTCCGCGATTTCCTCAGCGATGTCCCCTGGGATGTTGTCTTTCACGTTCAAGAATGTGCTTCTGCAGTCTCCTCATGGGTCAAAGCTGGAATCTACGCTTTCATCCCCTCAAGGAAATTTAAGGTCAAATCGTGCTCCCCCGCTGGTTTTCTGCTGCTTGCTCAGCCGCCATTGCTCATAGGAACCACGTCTTCCACCTCTATCGTAGCGATATGTCCGACTGCAATAGATGTCTCTTTGTCTCTGCCCGTAATGAGTGTAAGCGTGTCCTCAACGAAGCTAAGTCACTATTTGCTGCTAAAATGAAGGAACTTATTGCTTGTCGCAGTTCGACTCCAAGGATTATTGGCGTCTCTGCAAGAGCGTACTAAACAGTAGCAAACCCTCTATATCTCCTTTGTTCAACGAGTTTGAGGTCTTGACCTCCTCTGTCGATAAGGCTGAATGCTTTGCACGGAAATTCTCTTTCAATTCAACGCAAGACTCTTCCGGCGTACCCATACCCGACTTCCCTCTTAGAATTGAGTCCCTATTGAGCGACTTGCATAACCCCGTCATTGGTATTGGGCATTATCTCTAATTTAGACCCCCACAAGGTGGAGACGAGATACCAGCCATTGTCTTGAAGAAATGTGCGCCTGAACTGGCGCTTGTCGTCTCCGAATTATACAACTACTGCCTCAGGGAATCTTGTTTTCCAGACTGCTGGAAGTTCTCATCGATTGTTACTGTCTTTAAGAACTCCGGCGACCCCTCTAACCCTTCTAATTACTGTCCTATCAGACTCCTTCCCCTCTTCGGAAAAAGTCTTCGAAGCTTTAATCAACGCCGAAGTGGTTAACCACATTACATCCTATAATCTGCTCTCAGACAGGCAATATGGCTTCCGCTTTGCCCGATCTACAGCTGATGTGCTTACGGCCATCACTGAAATTGTCTAACAAGCTCTTCAGAATAACGGAGAAGCTCGTGACGTGGCCCTAGACATCTCCAAAGCGTTTGATAGGGTTTGGCATGCTGGCTTTCTTCGCAAGCTCGAGGGTTATGGCATTACTGGTCGATTGTTTGACTTAATACAATCATTTCTGTCTAACCGCGAATTGAAGGTCGTTCTCAACGGATTCTCCTCCAGCTCTTATCCCACGAACGCAGGTGTTCCCCAAGGCACCATCCTAGGTCCTACTCTGTTCCTTATCTTCATCAACGATCTTCCGGACGCCATTGATTCCCAAGTAGGCATCTACGCGGAAGACACTACAATTTACTCCTGCCTCAAAAACAAATCTAGTGTCGCTGACAAAACTAACCTGGTCGTTCGTCTCGAAAAGGACCTCCAATCGGTTGTGAACTGGGGCAGTAATTGGCTGGTTAACTTTAACGCCTCCAAAACAAAACTGCTCTATTAATCACCACAGAGATCCTTCCCTGCCCTCCCCAATTAGAATGTCTGACGCTCAACTTCCCGAGAGCAACTCTCTGCGGCTACTCGGTATCAACTTGTCTACTGACCTGAGATAGAACAAATACATTGAGTCAATTGCTTCGTCCACCGCAAGGAAAGTTGGCTCCCTGTGACGCGCCAGGAAATTTCTTCTCCCCGGAATCGATCCTTCAAATCTACAAATCAACCATTCGCCTTTGCATGGAGTATTGCTGCCATATATGGTCTGGAGTCTCTACTGTTTGCCTTGGGGTTCTTGATAAGATCCAGAGACGGATATGTAAAATAATTGGCCCTGAACTGGCATCTCGTCTGCAGTCGCTCTGTCACAGACGTGCCGTCGCCTCTCTGTCTTTTTTCCAAATACTTTCATGGTAATTGCTCCGATGAGCTGCTTTCGCTGGTTCCCAGACTTCG